TCCTCTTGTGCCATCCCTTGTTCCTTGGGAGCAGAGACCAGCCCCCTCCTGGCTCCATCCTCCTGTCAGGCAGTTGCAGAGAGCAATCAGGTCCCCCCTGAGCCTTCTCTTCTCCACACTAAACCCCCCAGGTCCCTCAGCCCTTCCTCATCACATTGTGCTCCAGGCCCTTCGCTTCCCTTCCTTCTGGCCAACATCTGCAGGATGTTGTTGGCCTTCTTGGACCTTCTGGTTGTCCCTGTCCTGACCTGTCCTTCTCAGGAAGCATCTGCTGCCACTCAAGGAGCACCCATAAGAAAGATGCTTCAGACCTGTGATCATCCTTGTGGCTTCTTCTGGACCCCCTCCAGTAGCTCCTTGTCTTGTACTGAGGGGATGAGAACTGGACCCAGTTCTCCACATGTGGCCTCACTCGGGTTGAGTCGAGGGAGACAATCACCTCCCTCCACTCGCTCACGCGCCCCAGCACCATGAGAAAAGCCTGAGACACAGAGAAAGCCCATGCTGAGAGTCACCTGCACACACAACGCTGGCGTCCTCCACGTGGTTACATGCATGTTGTCCCCAAGGCTTGGCCGGGCATTCGGCGAGGGTGGCTTCTGTCCCCAGGCAGCTCACCCCATCCAACCAGATGGGGCCAGATCCTTCTCCAAACCCAGATTGCCCCGGAGCAGACAAGGCTGCCCCACAGCCGAGCTGCCGGCACACGACGGTCCCAGCCATCGTCGCAGACGGTTCCCCACTGCTGGCTGTGGAACACCTCCACCCTCCCGGCGCAGCGGTGCGGGCCCTTCACCAGCCGCAGGGCTTCCGAGCTTCTCGGGTCCATGTCTAAAACCAGAACCAGAGGACAATAAAGCCTGGCCAGAGATCCCGGCCATGTGGTGGGACCTCCCCTCACCACACGTCTTGCAAGGGCTCCACCAGCACCCTGGTGTTCTCTTGGGATAAAGCCTGTGAGGAACATCTCCAGTAGATTGTGAACTTGGCCACATTAGAAGCATAGAATCCCGTGTTGGAAGGGACCTCAAGGATAAACCTTTCCAGGCAAAGCATGACCTAGATGTCCCAGCACCCCATACAGCCAAATCTGAAGTGTCCAATGGTGAGGAGTCCACCGCTTCCCTGGGGAGATTACTCCAGTGGCTGATTGTTCTCATGGAGGATCTCCCACGACAGGAGTATCCTCATGGGTGCAAGGAGGCACCATCACACCGCCTTGGTGAAGCCTCTAAGCCCAAGGACTAGAGGTTGTGTGGTAGCATGGATAAGGAACCCCAAAACCAAAGGGCAGCATCGGCCCTGGTGTGCCAGGACTCCGTGTGTGATGGAATGTCTCCATTCTACAGGCTTGGGATTTCTGGGAATCCCAGGCTGAGGTTTTCCAAGCGCTTTGCCTGGGGGAAGCCAGGAGGTGGAAACCACCTTGTTGCTCCCTGGCGGCTCTGAAGGAACAAGGGGAGGTTGAGCAGGAGGAGGTGGATGGTGACCTGATCCCCGACTCACCGCCACTGACCTGCAGCCGCAGAGCACACGACGCCGGCGTGTCCCCTCGACCTGCAGCTCTCGGCGCCCCACAGCTTCACCTTGCATTCCAAGAGGGCCCCTTCCGTCCCGGTGCACTCCACAGCGTCCACCCAGATGAGGCCATCTCCTGTTCCGAAGCGGGGGGACCCCACCGCCGCGTGCGCCGTCCCGCACCCCAGCTGCTGACACACCACATGGGCCTCGGCCAGGTCCCAGCCGTCGGAACAGATCCCACCCCAGTGCTGGTCGTGGAACACTTCGACTCTCCCGGAGCACGGGTCTGAGCTGTTCACCAGGCGGAGGCTCCCGAGGTCGGAAATGCCTGATCCTAGAGCACCAGGAGCAAACGTGTTAAGGAGATACCTTCTGCCCCATGGACCCTTCAGCAGGGAGTTGAGCAGTCCTAGGGGTCAAGGATGCTCTTGTGTGTCACATCTTGTGTGTCATGGATGCTCTTGCCGTGACAGAGAGGACAGAGCTTTGAGCTGGCCCAAGTGGTGCCTAAGCCTTGGTTACATGGGCTTGTCCATAGCCATAGGATCATAGATGGGAACCCCTCCTAAAGCAGACACCAAGGGCAGGGTCCAGCCACCAAGATGTGGACATCCTTGTGCCATTTGGGACTCCTGGGATACCTCACCTGCTGCTCCTGAAGGGCACGGGCTTCCCTGAAGGATCTCTTAGCCCGGCTCCAACTAGGGTGAGGTGTTACCTTCCCATGCTGGGGCAACTGAACTCGACACTGGCCATGTCAATCAGTGACACCCGGATATTAAATGGAGACCATCCTGATATTAAGCAACCTGGTTGCAGTCCAGTGCCCTCAGCCATTAGAATGGGCTGTGGGGCTCCTCTGGCAGAAAGTCAGAGCTAGAGAGGGTGTAGAGGGATGGGAGATGGAATCACATGGGCTCACGCAGCGCTGAGCAGGAGATAGAGGGATGGGAGATGGAATCTCATGGGCTCACGCAGCGCTGAGCAGGAGATAGAGGGATGGGAGATGGAATCTCACGGGCTCACTCAGCGCTGAGCAGGAGATAGAGGGATGGGATATGGAATCTCATGGGCTCACGCAGCGCTGAGCAGGAGATAGAGGGATGGGAGATGGAATCTCATGGGCTCACGCAGCGCTGAGCAGGAGATAGAGGGATGGGAGATGGAATCTCATGGGCTCACGCAGTGCTGAGTATCACAGGGACATCTACCATGGACCAACCAAAGCTGTCCGAGAGCCCTCCCTGACCATGAGGCCAGTTCTGATGGGACAAGACCCATTTGTCCTGCCACGACGCAGGTGAGTACCTGAGCAGATCACGCTGGCGTCCTCTCCATGCTCACACCCATGGATGCCCCAGCCCTTGGCCTTGCATTCGGAGAGGGCAGCCTCCGTCCCTGTGCAGCGCACATTGTCCAGCCAGATGGGCCCCTCTCCCTGCCCGTAGTGAGCGCGGTGCGGGGCCAGCACCACGGTGCCGCAGCCCAGCTGCCGGCACAGCACCTTGGCGTCCAGGAAGTCCCAGCTGTCATCACACACCGTCCCCCACTTCCCGTTGTGGAACACCTCGACCCTCCCGGCGCAGCCGCCAGAGCCGTTCACCAGCCGGACCGGGACGAAGCTGGACGCAACCGAGCCTGCGGGTGGGCAAGGGCATGCTCAGAGCATCCAGCACCAAGGTGGGAAGAGGAGGAACCCTTTGTCTTGGCACATAGATGGTGCTGCGTGGTCAGGTTGCTTCTGAACCCACAGCATCTCGTCCCCATCCATGGAGACACTTCATCTCATCC